CGTGTATAATGTTATAACGACAATCGTGTATAATGTTATTACTACAATCGTGTATAGTGTTATAACGACAATCAATATAATGTTATAACGACAATCAATATAATATTATAACGACAATCAAGTATAATGTTATAACGACAATCGGGTATAATGGAATAACGACAATCAATATAATGGTATAACGACAAACGTATATAATGTTATAACGACAATCGGGTATAATGTTATTACGACAATCGTGTATAAATGTTATAACGTCAGTCGTGTGTTCGGTTATTACGACAATCGTGTATAAATTGTTCATTATGTTTAACGACAAACGTGTTCCGTGCTGTAACCCTACTTGCGTAAGCGCCTTTAAGTAATTTTCCAGAGATAAGACAGGGCGGTATACATATGTTGTACAATATTCTATAACTAAGATATACATTTTTCCCAATCTCGCTAACACTAACGAACACGCTCTTTTTTGCGTGTTTGTGTCATACGGAACTACGGCACGCGAGGTAATTGACATCTCTCTGCCTTTCCTTGCCGACTCCTGTTATTACTCCGTAATGACATACATGTACGAAGATCATTTTTAATCGCTACATTCACATCGTAATTTTTATCAAAGCATTTTAGGCTGATTGTATATACGATTCATACGAATTTGTTAAGTTTTTGCAAATTTTGAATATTGCAACCGGATTTTCCCGGCTAATACGCATCGCTTCTATTGTAATCAGTCCAATTTTAACTCCCGATTTTCGAACTGATTTATGGATTTGAATTACGTTGCTTGAAAGTTGATCGATATTTACATATTTTCATTTGAAATGAACTGGAGAGGATATATTTTGTAAAAAAGGAAATGAATTTTCTAAAAGAAATTGGAGTTCTCCAAGAGGAAATATTTAAAATTCGATCTTTTTTTTTTTAAATCTTGGAGATCTAGGCTAAGAAGCTGCACAGTCTGAGATTAAGTTCAGGTTCTCATATAACTTATTGGGATTCATCACCCAGCACAAAGGAGAAAGACAACGTAGCACCACTGCCGAGGACACCCTGTGACTTCAGGTCAAAAGTCATAAACCGCTCGAGGGAAACACTACACTAAAGGGCAAAAAAATGAATTGAAGTGGTTCTTCCGCAAAAGTGGAGCACCATGAAACTAAAAGGAAAACACCGTGAACTGAGAGGATGACAATACTGAAGAGAAAGCAACATGAACAGATTCCAACAATACAGGGAAAACACCGTTAACCGAGGGAATCGAACAATAAAGGGAAAATATCGTGAACTGAGAGGACTCCAAAAATAAAGGGAAACACCATGAACCAAGCGGATACCAATATAGAAAGCAAAACAACACGAACTTTGGCGACTCCAACACGAAGGGTAAAACACCATGAACTGAGGCCTAGGGACATTTGTTTCTTCAACCTGTGCTTTCATTAAAACGCCTGTAAGCTACACAGATTGAGTAACTTTTACAAGTAGTATCTCAGTCTGTGTGTTACTGTAGTAGTATCTTCTTAATCTGGAAAACCAGAATATCTGTTTCAGAAAATGCATACATAGGTGATCAAACTGACAAATTGAACGCCACCCTTTCCCAACTCTTCACTAAAATGAAGGTGGGCATCAAATAATATGCTTCCGTTTCGAAAATCTGATAATGATTTAGATTTTTTATTTTTTTTATTTTTGCCTTTCTCTGTTTGTCTATTTTTTGTTTTTTTGTTTTTCTCTTTCTGATTTGAGAGACACCATGACATAAACATTTAATAGCTATTTGAAGGGAGTACACACAAGTTTGATTATGGTGGTAGGAAGTTCGTTACTCATCGGTATATTGTCTATCAAATCGCTCTCATAATCAGCAATGGAGCATGTTCCAAAATTTAATTTCTTTAACAAAGAGCAGATTGAGACCTTGAGACACACTCGTGTGTGTTGTGTTCCTGTGGTATATTTTCCCTGCTCTTCGCTATGCGAGATAAGACAGGCAGGCAGACCCATTCAAACGGACAACTGTTTTACCGATGAGCAGCTTGGAAATAGCGTAATGAACAAATTTATAGATATATATTATAAATAAACTACTTTTATAAAGACCACCTGTTGTTAATTTCTGGAGGGGCTTTGTGCTCTGTATGAAATAGATGTATACACCATACGTAAACGCAGTTTCGCTATTTCATGTGGCAAGTCGAATCATCGTAGAATTAATAGTCTCCCTTTTATATGAGAAATAAGAAAGGCATTATTTTAAAGACTTTCTCCTTTTTTCCCTTTGATTTTAATAGCATTAAGAAACAGGTAGATAGCTGCTTAACCCTCTCAAACAATTTTATGAGCCCATATATATGATTACAATTACTAATACTTGTGTACCGTTCAGATTTTACCCGCCGTTCCGTTGGTTATAGTACCAAACCATAGTACTTTATCGCCGCCATTATGGCCTAAAGGTACCGCTATCTTAAAAATAACACTCCTCGATCACGTAAACCCACAATTAGGTAATACCAGTAGACAATTTGTGTTTCTATTTGAATTCCGAAAAATTTGGTGAATGGATTCTTAATTAATAGCAAAACGCTGGGCAAATTGAATCCAACTGATTTCTGTTGTATTCATACAATATATAAGCGTAATGCTTGTTTCATAAGAGCTTAAATCGCGTATAAAAGTGAAACCAACTGATATCTGTTGTATTCATACAATATATTGCTTAATGCTTGTTTCATAAGAGCTTAAACCGCGTATAAAAGTGAAACCAACTGAACAATATCATTTTTTATGGAAATATTCGGTGAATGCACCTAAAATCAACAACGCATATATTTTTAATAAGCGGTTCAACACTAAACTAAGATAATTCATCTTCTTTTTAATAATTTTTTGTTGTTTTGTTTATTTTTTGGTGTTTTATTTGGTTTTTTGTTGTTGTTGTTGTAAATATACTATTTATTTGTAAATAAACTCCATATCAAGGGAATCACATCTGTTTCAAAACTTTTACCAAATTTAAGAAGCGCTTCCGAAATTTTACAATAGACTTATTATCAACACAGGGGCATGTCACCTACATATGGGCGACACATTACATACTGTATATGAAGTGTATCAAAGCAATGGATGTTTTAGCAAATAATGTTATTGTCCTATAACACACATTGCTATTGATGCCAAACTTAATACAGCCCGGCAGGGCTTTATATATGTTTGTCAGCAATAGAAATGTGTGTTAAAGGACCCTAACAATAGTTTCTAAAATATTCATTAGCTATATTTACATTTTGATGGAGTAGTTACACTTGATTTTGTTATTTCGAACAGTTCTTTGAACAGCAAATTAAGTCTCGACAACAATGTAATTGATGACGTCACATTAGAGATTGATGACGTTACAATAGCAAATATTGTTATAGTCTCATAACAACATTTGCCTTCTCAATGCATTGCAATGGAAGGATACAGAGCAAATGTAAATATTTATTATTTATGTATATTTTGTGATTACATGTATCGCACTATCCCGATTACAGAAGAACAGATATGTTTAATCATTCCATCATCACAATCATTAGTGGAGCTCTCTTTTTTTATACAACTTTTGTGTTATATTTCAGTGTTTCAAATAGCGCATATATCGTGTACCCATAATGCCATCGTGTGACCCTGGACGACCTAAACCTTTGATTGACAGTTATCAAGTCATACATGCAAGATCTTACACAAGTTTTCACTTCAAATGACATTTACGAAAGAAGACTTAAGTGTCACACACAAAAATGACTTTATCCCAAAAACGGATATTACAAAATGAAATGATGCTTTTCCTGGTTGCCATTGAAGTAAACAAATCAACTTTCTTTGCTTTTTGTTGTCATGACGTCATTATATAATGTTGAAGTATGTGACGTCATTGTATTATCATTTTATGACGTCAATAGGTCATGTTACAAAAGTTCATACAGTTAGTAGAACATGGGTTTGTTCACTGAATAATACGGGTTACCACTTAGTCAAAAATGTTATTCAATTTTTTCTAAATTTCAATATGTAATTATGCACAAAAAAATCACTGTGACGTCACACGTTACAAAGCGATGACGTGATGGATTCACAAGGGAAACGGACACATTTTTTTTAATAACAAGATTTTAATCATATTTAATAAAGTCAAGGTAAGAATTCTGTTAATCAAATCTTAAGTTCGTTTCTATACCAGTAGGCTTTTTAACGAGCTCGCTGAAACTCGTTTTATAAAAATGATATGAAACGGAAATTCGCTTGATATTCTGGTGGTAAATTCATGTTTAAATAAAACTTTTATTTTATATGATGTTTCCTGTACTTTTGTGATGGGAATATAATACGTTTTTAACTGGGAATCTCAATTTAGAAACAGTTCTAGATAAAATCTCCTCATCTAGTACTCGTAATTCAATGTTAAATTATCCGTGAAAAATACAAAACATGGCATTAAAGTTATTTATAGATTTATTTTCTATTTTAGATTGATGAATTGTCGTTTTAAGAAATAATCAGTCGGGATTGAAAGGTGAATATATATCGAAAATAAATTCTTGAGAAATATTCATCTGTAGTAAGAAATACCAATTAAGGTCAGGGACAATATCTAAAAGCCTTGTTTGCTTAACGAAATCCAGCAAAAAGAAATCCATCGGAGATTTAAAAAAAAAATCTTGGTTTTACTAAATTTAGATGATGGTTATTTATTTTCTGATTACTGAAAGCATTAATGTTCTATGAATAATTATTATTTTGAAATATTTCACATCATATATCTCTATTGAAAAGTTCGGTAATCGATTTTGAAGCTGACTATACTTTTGTACTTGGGTCCAAAAGTACACCAAACCCTATCTATCCATCCCAGGGCATGCTGAACCATACACCCCTCTCCAGATGTAACCAGGCTCATTGACGGGATTGCCTCTTAATTCGACCCCCCGCGATGCCACTTATGTTGAACAACTTACCTCTTTAACCTTCACATTGGTCCATTATCCATGTTGACGTCATCGTCGTCGTCCTCATCGTCCTCATTGTCCTCATCATCACCTTCCTCGTCGTCGATAGCATCTTCTTCGTTGTCATTATTATCCATCATTTTTTCTTTTTCCGTGTCGGACACTTTTTTCATTATCAGTATATCACTTTTGACGTCATCAAAATTTAAAGATGGCGGCGGTGCCAAACAACATTCGTCGTCCTCGTTGGTGAAAGCGTGGCCATTTTGTAAAGTAAAAGACTGGGTCTTACGAATGTTTTCACTACTTTCATATTTAACTATAGCCGATTTAGGTACACTTAAATGCCGAACCTGGAGCGACTGAGTCCTTCGTAAATGGCCGCTTTGAGCACTTCCGTTTTGATTACCTTTTCTCTGCATTAAAGACATTCGGAAAGACGATGATCGCTTAACACTTCCTTTTCTTTTGTCTTTGTAACAGAACAACTGCACTTTCCTTCGTGTATATCGTATAAAAGAATTCCGTAAAATTTTATTTCGTATACCATAGATGGCGCTATTGGTCATCGGCGCTGCCTGAAATAAAGTCGTTACTATGGAAACCAACATAGGGTCTACCTGTCTTGTTCCGGTGGCCGTTTCCACCAGTATTACAATTGAAAAGGGGATGTAAGTTAGGGTAAATGCTCCCACAAGCTGAAGGATGGTTAGCATAGCTTTTGTGCCCTTGATAGATGTCGATAAAGGCGCCGTAGCCTGTGTGTTGAGAGCTATAGGCGCCTGAACGACGCACGCCATTCGAACCATGGTCGCGGCGATTCTGCTGCTTTGAGTTCGTGCTATACGAAATATGTGTGTATAACAGTAAATCATTACGATGAGGGGTAAATAAAACATAACACTTACTAATAATCCCACGTACCACCGACTTAATACATCCAGGTGGTTTATAAAGCACGTGCCCGTCACAGGCGAGAACACGTAAGAATTCCCGCCAAAAAGTGGCGGTAACGCCAGTATAAAAGCACTCAACCAAAACACAGCAAACAATGACGTCATTTTACGCGCAGTCGCCGTTAAGGAATGATGTAAAGGGGACGCAATTGTCTGATATTTGTCCCAACTTAAAGCAGCTATTGTCCATACGCTTGTTAGCGTAAAGGCTGACTGTATAAATCCGTATGCGTGACACATGCTTTGTCCACCGAGCCAGTACCCACATAAACTGACCACTCCGGCGTAAAGTGTGGTCAGCATAGATGACGCTAGCCCCACGGCCCCTAGATGGACGAGTAATATATTCCGTACTGTCCTTAACCTCCTGTTTGGAACAATTGCTACGATCATAAAAACATTAAATGCACTTCCTATGACGGTAAAAACCAGTAAAAATATTCCGTGTACTATTCCTCGCCCTTGGGTGCTCCAGCCCGGGGAGTAGGGTTCCCTGAAAGAGGTGGAGGCGTTGTATATATCGTCCCAGAAGGAATAATTCGCCTCCCCGTTACTGTAGTGCCCCGGGACTGTCATAGCTGTTTAAGCCCCTCCTCGATCCCGGGGGTGAAGCAGGCATCACAGGAGGTAGCCCGTCCCCACTCCTTCAGAATGTACTCCGTGACACTGTCTCCCATCGGAAACAATTATCAAATGAACGTCACCGGTCTTCCCTATAGTATCGTTAAACTCTTAAACATCGATGTTTTAACACAAAGTATAAGGATAACTAGAACATCTCTCATCGACTTGTCACAATCACTTCCGCTTGGAAATATGACGCATATGTACTTAACAACATTTAGAACATGAAAGTAAATAAAACATTCATAACTTTTTTTTAAATATAACATGTAAAATATACCTCTGGTTCAAGAATCAAATTGCTGTCCGTCATTAATCCCACAAATTAACCTTGATCGCGACGACATAAATTTTGGTCCATATATAATTCGATGCTCCCTCGACGTCAACTTCCGGGGTTTTTTGTGAGATTTCAAAGACGTTAACCTTCTGATGCTAACGTCCGGTTCTGGCGATAAACACACGTTAATTTCGAGTGATTCAAACTCAACACACCGACGTCAGATTTTCATTTTCAGACCCTCCATCCGAAATCAAATTCTAGTACCAAAAAGCGCCTTATTCTGATGTCAGAGAAACGTTCCTCAAGACATTCAATTTCTGAACGACCCTCAGACGTCAAATCACTGACAGACGATAACTTCCGGATGCTCCTTCCGACGTAATATTCGGACCTTAAAACAAAACCTTTAGCACTGTTGTCGTCCCCTGCGACGTAAACTTCTACAGCCGAAAACTGTTATATCTTGTAGACTGTTTCCCCCTGCGTTCCAGTGTATTGACTTTTCCTCTGCCCCACGTGTGTGTGGTGATAGCGAAAATCAAGTAGTAGTCAATTTATACGCCGTGTGTTGTTCACAGAGCTATTGCCTTAGATCCCTGGGGTCCAATAAAACACACTCACAATCCCTTGTTTTAAATCCACGTAGATTTTCCATAAACCAATACTTCACTTCTAAAAGCCATACTGTTAAAATTCCACTTATATATTAAAACTCCTTATGAACGATGTAAACACACAAGGCCGATGTATCTGTGGTCAGATTGTCTCCCTAGCGAACATCAACCCGCCACTAACAGATCTATAATATTAGCACTACCGGCAAACAACTCCATCGAGAAGTAAGCTTTGAGCTTTAACAGGTAAATTCCCAACATACAGCCGAGAGAGAGAGACGGGGCGAGTTACACACTAACATGCTAAATTTACGTGAAAAACGTGTAAGGAGCGAACCGGTTACTGACTTCGGGGGCTGAGACAAATCCAACTTGAGCTAACGGTATAGTTCTACACACTTCTCACAACATAGCGCGCTGTTACATTAGCAGGCACGCGCGTCGGACAGTGAAAACTATTTTTGGCACCACGTATGCCGGGTTATTGCCGATCCGCGTGTAAGATTCATTTTTACTCGACGAATGGGAAATATAATGATTGAAATGTATGTGTAATGTTTATGGGAGTTGCCGGCTAACTGCCCTCATATACAGAAATAGCGCGTGGTCAATCGCTCGCGCTGTCCTTAAGATCAATATTTTATAATTATATATATTTATGTATATATGCGAGTAATTTAATAATTGATGTCAATGCGGAGGGTAAATGGGTTAATAAAGGGATCTGGATCGATCTGTCCTAGAAACCAGAATCTATTTATACCAAATGCAATCTTCCGTTGAATCATATCATTTCGAGAATTATTGTTTATATTCTACAACAACTTGAGGGTCCAATAATAACTAGTAACAAATAGAAAAAAACGATTAAAAAAATCAATCAAATGTCTTTTACAAATGTAATAAGATATGTTGTTGTATATATTGATTTTGTATATGTATAATTCTTGTATCGACGAAATGTTTTGCGTATTTTTCGTTTCGTTTTTTCACTCATTTCTAGATATTATAACGACCTTTGCTTTTGTCTACAAGAAATACTAATTTCATCTTGAAATGGAAACCTACCGCTCTGCAAAAAAAAATGTCAATCAATTGTTCTGCACTGTTAGTACAGATAGTCCGAGTATAGTCTTAACGTCTGTCACAGCTTGTTCTTATAGAGAACGGCTTAACAAAAGATAGACGTGACGGTGATGTCTATTTCCGTGTTCAAGCTAGCGACACGTGTGTGGTCAGTGGCCTTTACTGGTCAATACCCCATACAGATCAATGTCGATATTAATATCTTTTGTTGCTTGACAATGGATTATTATATTTAGTCTCTACCGCTAATAAGGATGTCTCAGTTTCTGAGATTGTGTTCGAAATGTCCAATCGATTTTCACATTGTTTACATGTTTAATGAAATGAGAAAAAAAGCTGTGTTTGACAAGTCAAATTAGGCGTACTACGAAATGACGTTCGTACAGAAGCCTATTATAGCGTCATCTGGGCCCGTTTTCATAAAACCATTCTCATGTTCAACCTCAGGTTCTGTGCTGAAGCACTTTTTTCTTGCTCACGTGATAATTTGGGGAAAAAAACACATTTTGTCAATTATAAAGAAGAATTTGTGAGTCGTTAAACCAAATAATGATTTTAATGTTAAAACTTGACTTTTTGACAGTTTTACATAATTTCAGGGAGTAACCCTAGCCCTAACTCTAACCCAGGGAGTAACCCTAGCCCTAACTCTAACCCAGGGAGTAACCCTAACCTCTACTCTAACCCAGGGAGTAACCCTAGCCCTAACTCTAACCAGGGAGTAACCCTAACCTCTACTCTAACCCAGGGAGTGACCCTAACCTTTACTCTAACCCAGGTAGTAACCCTAACCTCTACTCTAACCCTAACCCTAACCCTAACCCTAACCCTCTAACCCAGGGAGTAACCCTAACCCTAACTCTAACCCAGGGAGTAACCCTAACCCTAACTCTAACCCAGGGAGTAGCCTTAGCCCTAACCCTAACCCAGGGAGTAACCCTAGCCCTAACTCTAACCCAGGGAGTAACCCTAACCTCTACTCTAACCCAGGGAGTGACCCTAACCTTTACTCTAACCCAGGTAGTAACCCTAACCTCTACTCTAACCCAGGGAGTGACCCTTACCTCTACTCTAACCCAGGGAGTAGCCTTAGCCCTAACCCTAACCCAGGGAGTAACCCTAGCCCTAACTCTAACCCAGGGAGTAACCCTAACCTCTACTCTAACCCAGGGAGTGACCCTAACCTTTACTCTAACCCAGGTAGTAACCCTAACCTCTACTCTAACCCAGGGAGTGACCCTTACCTCTACTCTAACCCAGGGAGTAGCCTTAGCCCTAACCCTAACCCAGGGAGTAACCCTAGCCCTAACTCTAACCCAGGGAGTAACCCTAACCCTAACTCTAACCCAGGGAGTAACCCTAGCCCTAACTCTAACCCAGGGAGTAACCCTAACCCTAACTCTAACCCAGGGAGTAACCCTAGCCCTAACTCTAACCCAGGGAGTAGCCCTAACCCTAACCCAGGGAGTAGCCCTAACCCTAACCCTAACCCAGGGAGTAACCCTAACCTCTACTCTAACCCAGGGAGTAACCCTAACCTCTACTCTAACCCAGGGAGTAACCCTAACCCTAACCCTAACCCAGGGAGTAACCCTAACCTCTACTCTAACCCAGGGAGTGACCCTAACCTCTACTCTAACCCAGGGAGTAACCCTAACCCTAACCCTAACCCAGGGAGTAACCCTAACCTCTACTCTAACCCAGGGAGTGACCCTAACCTCTACTCTAACCCAGGGAGTAACCCTAACCCTAACCCTAACCCAGGGAGTAACCCTAACCTCTACTCTAACCCAGGGAGTGACCCTAACCTCTACTCTAACCCAGGGAGTAACCCTAACCCTAACCCTAACCCAGGGAGTAACCCTAACCTCTACTCTAACCCAGGGAGTGACCCTAACCTCTACTCTAACCCAGGGAGTAACAAGAAAGTTGGTTTGAACACAGAATATATGCTTGAGCACGATAACGGTTTCCTGAATACGGAACCTGGTATCACTCATCTTGCAGAACGCTATCATAAGAGGCGACTAATGTGCGACTACCTAGTATAGGAGTGTTACTTCCTATTTACTACTTAGGAGACATTGAAGACACTTGAAAGTTTAATTTGGTACCTCTTACATTGATTGTATGTCTTTTTATTACCTTTCTAATGTCAAAGAGGATTTTGATAAGATTTTTTTTTAAACATCGAATCAAAATCACCAATCTCAATACTACGAGATCAGTATCTCATAACTAAGAGAATAGTTCGCCATGTTAAATTTCCTGAAGAAACATCTTTCTCGTTGTTTGGAGATCACTAATAGAAGACAAGAAGATACATTTTATTTATTTTAAAACAATTATGAAACAAGTTAATTCAACTTATATCAATCACTCTTGTTTGCCACTTGGGGGTCTTTATGTAGGAGGAAACCGGAGTACCAGCAAAAACCCAAGTATTCGGACAGGTGACCTCATACCTTTTCACGTCCGGTCGGGGAATCGAACCTCGGCCACTTTGCGAAAGGCAAGAGCGCTCTCCACTGCGCCACTCGACCACCCACAGATAATATGCGTATTGCGAGCGGAGCCGTTGGACTTCGAGGAAGCGAGATCACTATCTCTCATAGTTATTTCATAACTCGTAGTTACGTTAGTAAGATGGGAATAAATATCAGGACTTCTTTATAAACTGCAAAAATATCGATTACGCTAAATGTATACTGAAGCTTTACCGAATACAGAAATCCTTCTTAAAACGATCGCAATTCCTTGGCAACCGTCACTATTTAATATCATGATTTTAGTAAAAAAAACAACAGTAAAGCAATGTTTTAAAATTGATGAAACATTGTTGAATATTAGTTGTAAAATCGATACCTATTGCGTCTGGAAATATATCGGAATGCACTACGGCCTTTCCCCTGTAGAAATTTTGACGGAAAAGGCCGAACTGGAAGTCGATTGTTCCGGAAGATGAATTAGCCTAAATAAATTCAGTTCATTAAAGAAGAAAAAAGCAGCTTCAGAAAATTGAAAGGATTGCCCTACATCACGAAAGTTATAACATTGAACTTGATTTTACATTATGTACATGTTCTCTAATGAAATTGCTGGAGCATAGATTATAAACATGCAAGTAAACATTTATCCTTTCAAAATATATGGAAATGTTTAGATTTGTCTGGATTAATGTAAACAAACTTGTATTTGTGTACTTAAGGAATTACCAGGACTATTTTTCCAGGACATATATCTGGTTATTGCTTATAATTTAATTCAAACACTCAGACAGCATTTTTTAATTGACAGTTCGTTAATATTTATGCATTGCTGTTAAAAACAATAATGATTTTGCACAAAACACAACATTGTGCAATAATTTCAACGCCATGCAACTTCAACCAATCAGAAGTTAGAATTACAAATACCGCGCCAAACATTGCGATATACGACGTCTGCGTCATCACTTTTTGTGTTATCTGGTTTTTAGGTTGTACGATACATGTATAACCTGAAGAAGTCTACCATTAAGTAAATTGCCAAAAATAGATTACGTATATTACGCATTCTACGGACTTGGCTAGGGAAAAGTATCTCTTTAGCTCATTCGGTAGTGACTCGGGTAATATTGACAAATATATGATAATAATAAAATAGTAATAATTCGAGTTTCTTATAAACGGCTTAAAAAATAATAACCGGGGTTTATAGGGCCTTTGCAACTAGCCAATATCTTTCTGAACTCCCAGCCGAAGCTGCTATTTCGGCGCTGGGCTGAGACAATCAACAATTCTAGCACTGCCCAACCACGTACTCATTTACAGCTGAGTAGACTGGAACAAGCGGAGTAAAGTATCTTGCTATAAGATACAACACAGTGCCGTGCCGTGCCGTGCCGTGCCGTACCGTGACTCGAACCCGCAACCCTTCGGTCACGAGCCCGGCGTCCTACCACTAGACTACCTTGCCTCAGCGATAGTTTCACAAGAATCGCTATGACCCATGAAAAACTCGGGACGACTTCTTTCCTGGAGGGGGAGTATAAATCACCCTGATAAAATACTTGCCGCTTACTACCGACTCGGCTAGGGAGAATTTCTCTCTAGAGCGTAAGACTAGTAAGACAGACATCATGGGTTCGACTCCTAGCGGGGGCATTGAAAATAAATTGTAACCTCTGTTACATATGTATATATATATAACGCTGATTCATATATCATATCCTTAACATCTAAATTCAATAATGTACATATATCATATCCTTAACATCTAAATTCAATAATGTACATATATCATATCCTTAACATCTAAATTCAATAATGTACATATATCATATCCTTAACATCTAAATTCAATAATGTACATATATCATATCCTTAACATCTAAATTCAATAATGTACATATATCATATCCTTAATATCTAAATTCAATAATGTACATATATCATATCCTTATCATTTCTTGTCGATTTGTTTGGTTTTTGTTTTAAAATGGTTTAGCGTCCTATTAACAGCTAAAGTCATTAAGGACACGCCTTCATGTGATATCGCGCATATGATGCCGACTTTTAGAGCGTTACTACACTGAAATACCACAACGAAGGAACCCAGTATTCCGACTTTTCGTATTGCATAGTTATCTGCTCTTGTGAGCAGGTATTGAATGTTACGTCATTTGTTTGTGAGAGTAATGTCATGAATGTTTGAGAAAACGACGTAATTTTCTCATACAAAATAATGACGTAACAATCAATACCTGCTCACAAGAGCAGATAACTCTGCAATACGAAAAGACGGAATACCATTCCACCCGATCCTATTATACTGACATCGGATTAACCAGTTGTAGCGACACACAATCACGACTTTACGTCAGAGCTCGAGACACAAGGGAAGGTGACTAGCTAACAGGAGCTAAATTATTTATCATCAGCAAAGATGTCTGTGTGCTCCAAATTCTGGACAGTTCGATCGGCGAGCCTACTCGTTTATGGCTATATCGGTTTAACCCGTTTAACCAAGGTCGGACTAAAATGTTATTGCTAATGAAGAGACCTTAATACACACACTGTTTAATTATTTTATTTATGAAGTTTTTACAATAAATTTCCCTTGAATGCACCAGTCCGTCCGTTTGTGGTCTGTCTGTCATAGCAATATAAAGGTCAGCGCGCATAAGCGATCAGATAATTATGAATAATATACCAGTGATGATCGGTTTGACCAACGGTCAGTTGGTCAATTATAGAAAGTCTTGTTACATGTAGCGTTCAGCGTTATAAGCCTATTCCCTAATCACGTAAAGTGGACATGTCAGAAGCTGACATTTTGTCGTTCTAGAGACTGAAAGGAAATCTCTTTGAAAATGGGAAAAACGTACGATTATATTGTGTGGTTTGCCTGACTGTGTAATTAAGTCGAGGACAGATGACAAACGGAATATTAAAAGTGAACTTATAAAAAACAGGGTTTGTTTAAAAACAAAACGACCGTTTTTAGAGAAAAAAAGTGTGAACAAAACCGTAATTTTAACTAAAAAAAGTCATCAATACAATCAGGGCAAAATAAGAACAAAAGAGAGATTTACTTGGAGACCCTTGAAATAGTACCAGGTGTTCCGGAAGAGTAAGCGTCTTCTGTTTTATCGACGACCGCCGTCATGTAAATCTAGATCAAATCTTAGTTATGTCACGTCCTCACATCAAGAAAGTGTCACGTCCTCACATCGAGGAAATGTCACGCCTTCACATCGAGAAAATGTCACGCCCTCACATCGAGAAAATGTCACGCCCTCACATCGTGAAATTGTCACGCCCTCACATCGAGAAAATGTCACGCCCTCACATCGAGAAAATGTCACGCCCTCACATCAAGAACTTGGGTAGTGACAATCAGAACGCAAGGCTCATTAATTGTTATAAAAAACACCAACCTTCATATCACTAAAAAATGTAGCATATTTACTTTTATTGTATTTCCAGTTATAATCCTGTAATCTGATTGGTCGAGACAAATCGTTCATTTCACATTGTCATATTCGCCTTAACATTGAGTCAATAGAAATGTGCTTCCAAACGCCCTAGCAACGGGCGACAGTGTGTGTGACAGTGCAAACAGTGACCGCGCAAAGAGGATGCGCGTACGGTTTGTTTCAGCCTCCATGTTACTTCCTGTATATTAGATATATTTCATTAGAGACACCCTGTGTTGTAAGTTTGTCAGTCAGCTGTCGACATCTATCACGGAAACCCTGTGCTGCAAGTTTGTCAGTCAGCTGTCGATATCTATCACGGAAACCCTGCGCTGTAAGTTTGTCAGTCAGCTGTCGACGTCTATCACGGAAACCCTGTGCTGTAGGTTTGTCAGTCAGCTGTCGTCATCTATCACGGACACCATGTGTTGTAAGTTGGTCAGTCAGCTGTCGACATCTATCACGGAAACCCTGTGTTGTAAGTGTGTCAGTCAGTAGTCGACATCTATCACGGACACCCTGTGTTGTAAGTTTGTCAGTCAGCTGTCGACATCTATCACGGACACGATGTGTCGTAAGTTTGTCAGTCAGCTGTCGACATCTATCACGGACACGATGTGTCGTAAGTTTGTCAGTCAGCTGTCGACATCTATCACGGACACGATGTGTCGTAAGTTTGTCAGTCAGCTGTCGACATCTATCACGGACACCCTGTGTTGTAAGTTTGTCAGACAGTAGTCGACATCTATCACGGGCACCCTGTGTTGTAAGTTTGTCCGAACAGGAGGAAGGTTCTATGGGAATGTGATGAACATTTAAACAGCAGAAAGATGTGAACAGCGAATCGAATATTACTAGTTATATTTGCATGCAGAAAGAACCACCACATGGTCCGTTGTTCTATCTATATATTTCTATTTCTTTATTTTTATATGAGGTGTTTTCTTCCAGACATTTTCTGTGATTCCTATTGACAGCTAAATAATCGATACATGTTTAAGGTATGATTGGTGGTTAAGTATGTCAGAGAATCTCAATCGGTAAGTGCACACTGAACAGAGGAATGACGGCACCGCTAAATAACTATTACGTCATCTGTTTTTTGAAAAATACACCATGGTCTTCATTGGGAATCGTAACAGTCATATTTATGTGTAATATGCGCAATATTTACTGGTGTTAAGGAATGAGAAATAGTGGTTCATAATGACGGTGATCAGTAACGTGTCTTCATCAACCTGCATCTCTTAAACCGTGTGTTGTAGCAATCGACACAGAGGTCTATCAGCTCAACTGTGACATGAAAACACCAAAGGTTGGGGAAGCAGGACCGTTACTATCAAGAAAAGGAAAGTTCGCAATCGGAAGATTGAAATCCCACGGTCATCGTATAGCTTAGTAGCAACCTAAACTCTGTTCACTTCCAGGAAGGAATTATTTTTTTATTGTTTATGTTGAAAAGGAGGTTTACTTTATAATAATGACAAAGTGTTAAATTACTGGTTTGCATTGCAAGTGAGAAAAAATCTGCAAGAGTAAGAAGATTGAAGAATATGGCCATGTGCCAACGTTGCGTAACGTTTTCCTTTCCTACAAACTTTACCTCAGGTATATCGCGATCATGAATGGTTAAAGGGAAGCAACTCAAATATAATCTTGTCTCGGTTGAACACACGACGAAACGCACAATACACAAAACGTGCTTATTAAAGGACAATCATAACGAAATCATTTACTTCATGTCATTAATTAGCTTTTGAGTAAATCTCTTTAATCTTTGAAGTTCAACACTAGTGACAGCTGTCTAGATTCATAGATACATACCTGATAAAGACTTCAAAATGCACTTTTTGACAGGTTTTATCAATTGGGAACCGTCGGCCTTTTCCTTAAACGAGAAAATACTTTAAAGTGCCGACGGTTCCTGATAAAGGTTTAATGGAATCTGGCGAAAAGGGACGGGAACACCTCCTGACTTTTGACCCCATGTAAATCCTCCATCACTTATTAAATCTACAAAAACATTTTTACAAAGTTAAATATCTGTAGATACCATTCAATAACAAAATCTGTAATTAACTATACATTTAAATTACTCACAGACATATACATATGGATTTCAATTGTACGAAACACTTGCTGATTGGCTGATTTAGTTGTGCGGGTTCTTTAAGATGGCTTCACGATAAGTAATGATTGTGGAAAATATTCGGGTATAAAGCATAAATAGTTAATAATGTAAAAAACACAGTGATCAAAGAGAGAATTTAGCACAGAAAAGGTTGTTCTCAAAAGTTGCCCCAAATATATAACAACAAAGTGTCTTCAGTCAAACTTGCTATATATGAAACATCTTCTCTCTGCGTGTTTATCTCTGTCTTACATTAAACTTCTGGATATACCCAACATCTGAATACACCCAACATCTGAATACACCCAACATCTGAATACACCATCTGAATACACCCAACATCTGAATACACCCAACATCTGAATACACCCAACATTTGGATATACTCAACATCAGGATATCTAAACTGCTTGATTCACTAAACATCTGCATACATCAAAGATCTGGATTTACCCAACATCTGGATACACTCAACGTCTGGATACACATGACATCGGGATACACACGACATCGGGATACACACGACATCTGGATACATTCGACATCCGGATAAACCAAACATCTAGAAAGACACGACATCTGGATACACAGGACATTTGGATACACACGACATCTGGATATATCCAATATCTGGATACACACGATATCGGCATGCACACTACATCTTGATATACCCAACATTTAGATAAACACGAAATCTGGATACACACAATATCCGGATACACAGGACATCTGGATACACATGACATCTGAATACACACGACATCTCGAAACAAATGACATCCGGATTCACACGACATCTGGAAACACGAGATATCTGGATACATACGATAGCTGGATACACATGACATCTGGATACACCCAATATCTGGATACACAAGACATTTGGATACACAAGACATTTGGATACACACGACATCTTGATACACACGACATCTGGATACAAACGACATCTGGATACACAGACGTTATCTGGATACACAATATATCTGAAAACACACGACATCTTGATACACACGACATCGGGATACAAACGACATCTTGATACACACGGTATCTGGATACACACGACATCGGGATTGTGCCTACATCTGGATACACTCTTCATCTGTATACATCTTACATCGGGAAACACACGACATTCGGATGCACCTAGCATCTGGATACACCCAACATCTTGATCATTTCTAGATAAAAAAAAGGTTCGTCGCCAAGGCGACATACTCACCCCCTATATTTTATTTGTGTGTGTGTTGAAATATGAGACATCAGACTTACATTATGTGTATATTTGTCAACACTCGATGTGACGTGACAGATACAGAGTGATAGTGAATTAGGCAAACACACCAATAAATCAATTAACCTGTGTAATTAGTAGTACATGAAATGTCTGTACGTTATATTATATCTAATCATTAATGTTAATGTAGTCCACAGTAAATCAGAAATTTAAAAGTCCACGGCCATGCCAAGGTCTCGGCTGCCACCATAATTTATGTACAAGTAGGAACTTTATCATGCACCGCTGTACACTGATCTATTAAATCCCCATAATACACCACCCTATGGATAGCCAGGTGGATCCTTACACCGCTAACGTCAGGCTTGGGAGATCTATACACACTCATAACTGGCTAGATTGTATTGCCATACTACTATGTGGCCGGGTAGATCATAAAACACCCACCTTCTGGCCGGGTAGATCATAAAACACCCACCTTCTGGCCGGGTAGATCATAAAACACCCACCTTCTGGCCGGGTAGATCATAAAACACCCACCTTCTGGCCGGGTAGATCATAAAACACCCACCTTCTGGCCGGGTAGATCATAAAACACCCACCTTCTGGCCGGGTAGATCATAAAACACCCACCTTCTGGCCGGGTAGATCATAAAACACCCACCTTCTGGCCGGGTAGATCATAAAACACCCACCTTCTGGCCGGGTAAATACTGTTATGTGATTTACAAACTTTAACAGTTCTATCAAGACATTTACTTATAACGGAGAACTTCTGTTATTATTTTGTGACATAATCGTCCTTAATGAATGTGTATAACAAAGTGTTGTTATTCGTTGTCTGTGGACGGCCTGACATTGTAAACAAGGTGAGTGATCACACGTGACTACAAACGTACTGTGGTTTCTATACATACACATATATTCTACAACAAAATACTCCAATTGGTAACAACCACCAACCATAGGATTTAGAAGAGAATCGGGACTTTGTGAACACTCCAGATTTGTATTCCTAATATTGAAAAAGGTTTTTCTTTGTGATTGTTTTGTCAGTATGGAGCAAACTGCTCCACTGTGAAATCAACTTTGGATAGTCAAAAAGCGGTTTTGCATAATTTTATTAAAATGGCTACATCCCTATACAAAGCTCAGATACCTTTTCGTATCAAAGGTCAAATCACCTGTACACACCACAAAGGGAGACAACTAGACCTTTACTGTGAAGAATGTCAAGTTCCTGTTTGCATCAAGTGTGTATCTACTGTACATAAGAGTCACCCTTTGTGTGACCTTAGTGAAAATACTCATCAAACTAAACAGGATATTCAAAGCTTTATAGACAAAACTGAGAAAGTGGACCTTGTACAAATCGACCAGTACATCACTTCTACTGATAAACAACTAAAGGACAATTCTACCATTTTTGACAAACTTTCAAAACAGTTAAAGATACAAACAAACAAATTAAAAGAAGATCTGGACATGCTAACAGCTCAGACTCTGTCTCTCTATAAACAAATGGAGGAAGATAATACCAAGCTACTCCAAACCTACAAACAGGACCTGGAATCGTACAACACTCAGCTAAAACATCAGGTGCAAGAATGTAAGATAGCCCTTCAGCGTGGCTCCGACATACAAATCTACGACACAGGATGTGAGATTCAATCTCCAGTCACTCTCCCTGTAAAACCTGCCCTGAGTACTGCTAGCTTCAGTCCAAACAAAAATCCTCAGGGTCACCTTGAACAAGCTTTGGGAGAAGTTATCACATCAGGCCAAGGTCAGGATCAAGCTTTACGAAGTCATGAACGGCGGTCAGTTGCATCATCTGCTAGACAAAGACCATCCCTTTCACAACAGAGGTCAGAAAGAAAAGAAAGGACGCTCTCTATACAACAAATATCGAAAGGAAGAAAGCAAGTGAAAAGTCCAGTATATACCCTGTTACCTCAGACCAAGGTGTTGGGGGAGTGGACGTCTCGATGTTTGATACATTCTGTATGTCCAACAACTGATGGTCAGATGTGGACCAGCCACCATGACAGTAACACCTTAATTCTACTGCACAGTAACGGCAGAGTAATACAGGAGGTTAAACACAATACTGACATCATGGACACAAGTCTGTCATCAACAACCAACACACTGTGGGTCTGTGACAAAGAAAACAACATCACAGAGCTCGTGTCAGGACGACTAGTACACAGATTCAGCACCAGAGAGAAACCACAGTGTATCTGTATTACAGCTAATAACCATGCCATTGTGGGGATGGTCAAACATATCTCAAAATTTACAACGAAAGGTAAATTGGTATGCTTTTCAGTGGCAACGGGGACTGGGGTGCCATTAGTGTGTACACCATACAGGATCTCAAAGTGTCCTGTCACTCACAATGTGGCAGTGGCTGATTTGGATGGTACATACAATGGTGGTCGAGGGATACCATATGTTATTGTCATGGACACAGATTTCAAGAAACTATTTGTATATCGTGGTGAAGTCACCCGTGCATGTCGACTATTTATCCCCTATGATGTGGTGTATGACAGCGTGGGTAACCTTGTAATAGCGAACGGTATCAACAACCGTATCCTACTTATCAGTGGGCGTGGTGAGTTCCTCAGTATCATACACACAACTGCCAGCTGTATACGGGCTGTTGGTGTAGACACGGGGGATGTTCTGTGGGCAGTGTCTGGGATTAACAATGTCAAACTACTACAGTACAGCAGTAAGTGACATCTTGACAAACCACAACGTGTATATATAGTAACCACGACAACTGACACTGACAGGATTATGGAAGTTGTCAGGATCACTTGATATAAACTATGGACTATGTATCTCTACAAACAAGACATATATTACAATTATTGGAAAAATAAATATAAAAAGATCTAAAGGTAGCATAACTTTATTGATACTGCTTCTGACTTAACCTTCGGCGTTAGAGGAAACCCGTCGTTAGGCACAGCTATTTGGTGATTGATACATGGTGATGATGGAGTAACAATTAAAGTCATGTGACTTCAATAAAATACAATATTTTCACTGAAATTAATTTTTACTAAAGCCTTTTACTCTCTTTTTTAGTATTTTTCTGTACACGTTGTTATCTCCCTTCAATTAAATGCAGAACATATATCTAGTTCATTGTATTAACTATACCATTTAACTTTTTTTAAAGCTTTTTAAAAACAATTTTGAATAATTTGCAATCAAAGTGCAGGGTTTTAATAGAAAAACTGAATTCAACACATTTTTTATTGATATTTCATTATCATTCACATTGTCAATTCTATGTGTGACTTGTGGTAATAAAATCATTTTGAATTTACTAAAATTTGTGTTACTGACTATGATTACGTCTTTTGTAATATTTTTTGGCCAACTTAAAATAAACACACAAGAGAATTTGTGCACACACCATCACACCATCTTAACAGGTTTTTCTTTTCTCTTATCTGTCGACGGACCACAGACGAAGGGTAATTTGAATAGCCCACAGTTGGATAATATAAGGCATTAGATAAATAGATTATATATATATTTTCAATAACAATTTAGTCAACTAATACAGAGGGAAGCTGAACAATACAGAAGTAGAGGGCGATGAGCCGACACACAAATAAAACTGAAGTAGTACATGTAGTGTCTGTACTTTATACTATATCTAATCATTAATGTTTATGTAATCTACAGTTAATCTGAAATTTAAAAGCCCATAGCCTTGACAAAGTCTAGGCTGTTACCATACTTTATGTAAAGATAATCACATTCTGTCAGCTGATAGTTTCTGCAGGTCGTCGGCAACGTCGCACAACAAGGAACCATTACACTCACTGTTTCACACTTCTCTATAAAATCGCTCATATTACACCTCCCATATAGATAGCCAGGTAGATAATTACACCCCTACCGTAAGGTTTAAGAGAGCAATACACATTCCTACTAACCTGGTTGACTAAATTGTCATAGTACAGTTTTGCCGGGTAGATAATAAAACACCCAACTTCTGGTCGGGTAAATACTGTTATGTGACTTACAACCTTTAACAGATCTACCCAGACAAACTCTTTCAAAGGATAAGGTCAAACGCCAAACATATGTCGGAGTGAACTATGTTTTGTACTTTACACTTGCGGCATTTGCAATTGCCAAGTTTGAGATGAGTCCAGAAGCCATTACTCCGTATAAAACAAAAGGAATGTGCGAGTGAATATGCATTTTATGTAAGAGTACTTAAATGAGTAAAGTTGTAAATATCAACTCAAAATATAGATTAGAAAAGAAATTATTGAGAAAACCAAGCACTTTTCACTTTTCAAATACCTAAAAGAACCCCTTAACTTCATAATCTGTTTTATATAAACAATCTTTAAGTGACGATTGTATTTCTGTCATTTTTCATTCTTTTATATATGCCTGTTTAATTTAATGATATTATTTTGGTTGTTTTATGTCATTTTGAAAACAGCAAATAATATCTGTGAGTCACCATACCCCTTTTGGAACCCCAAAAACTCACTTTCGGTCAAACTATTGCTTTAGTTTTTGTGCATGTTATACAATAAAAAAAAGAGGTGAATATCCGGATATACCAGGGCCCCATGCTTTAGTAATTCTACGGTGAAATGGTATATAAGACAGACCCGGACAATTTTCTTTCATATGTAATGGTAAATTATTGGTCTCTGTGATCAACTTTTGTACTTGGCATTCTGCCATCACAAGGTGTACTAGCATACCAATTATCAGTAACGCAAAAGCAAACTTTTATTACATGTTTTCCAAAAGGTGGAATAAATCTAGACAATTATGTAGGGTTTTAACAGTTTTGGATAAATTGACTTTTAAAGATCAAACAGGATTTCCTTCAGACCGTTATGTAGGGCAAATACCAGATTAGTGTATAACAGTATACAATATGCTGAAGAATAAAATACATTCTACTATTTGGGTGGTCGAGTGGAGGAGTAGATAATGCACTCGCCTTTCACCAAGGTGGCCGGGGTTCTGAAATGAAAAGCGCCAACAAGAGTGATTGATATTAGTTGAAATACATATCTCATAATTGTTGTAAAAAAAGATTAATTTTGCAAGGAAACAATTCTCGGTTTTCTATTTAATAATTGATTAGAGAAAGCATTCTACTCAGTGTCATTCAAATATGTTGATGAAATCTTAAATTATTTTAAGATTTGTTTTGGTATTGCAAGATTGGTAAACATACAGCACACCAATGTTAGTTCAACTATAAATCTAGATCAAGGAGGTAAGTTGTCCTCAATTCTAGATATAAAAATAGGGTGTCGCAAAGGGGATCTAATAACCCCTATGCTTTATATTTTGCATATTGAAACATTATGCATAAGAATTACAAAAAGTATTATAAGTATATTTGTCAACACACAATGTGACTTCAATTCACTGAAATGGAGTGAAACAGAAATATACACGAGGAGACGTGAAATAGGCTAACACAATTATAACAATTCAGCATTTATTCCGTGTAATTAGAAGTACATGTAATGTCTGTACTTTAAACTTAATATTACATCAAATCATTAATGTTAATGTGATCTACAGTAAATATGTCATTTAAAAGTCCACGACCATGACAAAGTCTCGGCTGCTCCCTTACGTATTTCAAAACATTCACGTTCTGTCAGCTGATCATTTCTGCAGATCGTCGGCAACGTCGCACAACCAGGAACTATTACATGCCGTGCTGCACACTGATCAATTAAATCCCCTTTGATACACCACCCCTATAGATAGCCAGGTATATCATTTCACCCCTAACGTCAGGCTTAGGGGAACAATACACATTCCTTATAAACTTATATACTGTCTGGCCGGGTAGTTTATATAACACCCAACTTCTAGAATGGTAAATACTGTAATATGAATTACGGACTTATACAGTTCTACCGAGAAAGGATTTTTAAACAGAAAACATCATTTATTATGCTGTGATATAATCTGCTTTGATGGATGTGTATATTAAAGTGATGTTGTTCGTTGTCTGTGGACGGCCTTACATTGTAAACATGGTGAGTGATTATACGTGACTCCAAATGTTCTGTGGTTCCTATAATTACCCCAACGGGCAACAACCACTAAACGTCAACCACAGGATTAAGAAAAAAACAACAGATTTAAGTGGACACTGGAAACTCAGATCTGTTTTCCTAATATGAAAACAAGTTTGTCTTTGTGATTGTTTTGTCAGTATGCAACAAACTGCTCTTCTGTGAAATCAACTTTATATAGTAAAAAACAAACTTAAACGGTTTTGGATCATTTTAACAAAATGGCTACATCCCTATACAAAGCTCAGATTCCTTTTCGTATCAAGGGTCAAACAAAATGTACATACCACAAGAGGAGACAACTAGACCTTTACTGTGAAGAATGTCAAGTTCCTGTCTGCATCAAGTGTGTATCTACTGTACATAAGAGTCACCCTTTGTGTGACCTTAGTGAAACTACTCCTCAAATTAAACAGGATGTTCAAAACTTTATAGACAAAACTGAGAATGTTGACCTTTCGCAAATAGACCAGTACATCACATTTACTGAACAACATTTAAAGGACAACGCCAGGAACTTTGATAAACTTGCGCACCAGTTAAAGACACAGACCAACAAACTCAAAGAAAATCTGGACCTGCTTATAGCACAGACTCTGTCTGTCTATCATCAAATGCAGGAAGATAATACCAAGCTTCTTCAAACCTACAAACAGGACCTTGAAATATTCAGCACAAAGCTAAAACAACAATTACAGGAATGTAAGATAGCACTTCAGCGCGGCTCTGACATACAAATCTACGACGCAGGATCTGAGATTCAATCTTCAGTTAAACTCCCTATAAAACCTACCCTGGGTACTGCTAGCTTTACTCCAAACCTTAACCCTCAGAGTCATCTGGAACAAGCTTTGGGAAGAATTAGCACATCAGGTCATTTTCAGGGTCAGGATTTACTAGGTCATGATCGGTCAATTGGATCATCTGCTGGACAACGACCATCCCCTACACAACAGAGATCAGAATCGAAAGGACGGTCACAAATATCAAAAGGAAGACAGAAAGTATTCAGTCCTGTATATGCCCTGTTGTCTGAGACCAAGATGTTGGTGGAGTGGAAGCCTCAGTGTGTCATTTCTTCTGTATGTCCAAGCAGAGATGGTCAGGCGTGGACCAGTGACTGTAACAGTAACACCTTGACTCTCCTGAACAGGAAGGGCAAAGTAATGCGGAAGGTTACACATGATTATTCGATCAGAGACATAAGTCTGTCGCCTACAACCAACACACTGTGGGCCTGTGACGAAGACAACAACATCACTGAGCTCGTGTCTGGACAACTACTACAGAGATTCAGAACCAGTGAGAAACCACGGTGTATCTGTATTACAGCTAGTAACAATGTCATTGTGGGGATGGCCAAACAAATCTCAAAATTTACCGCAAAAGGTAAACTGGTACTTTCTACATTGGCTGTAAGGACTTGGGAACCAATAGTGTGTTCACCACGCAGAATATCAGAGTGTCCTGTTACTCACAATATCGCAGTGGTCGACTTGCAATATACAGATGATGATGGTTATGGGAATCCAAACGTTGTTGTCATGGACACAGATTTCAAGAAACGTTTTGTATTTGATGGTGAAGTCCCACATACATATCAACAAACATCACAGTCAGGATGTGAACCATTTGGCCCCTGGAGTGTGGTGTATGACACTGTGGGTAACCTAGTCATAGGGGACCGTGGTAACAACCGTATCCTACTCATCAGTGGGACTGGTGAGTTCCTCAGGATCATACACACAGATGACTACTGGCCATTGATTGTTGGTGTAGACAGGGAGGATGTCCTGTGGGCAGTTGTTGATGATTACTTTGTCAAACTACTTCAATACCGAAGTGTGTGACATCTGGACAAACTGCAATGTGCATATATAGTAACCATGACAACTAACACTGCTGTGCAACCCGTCGTTAGACCGCAGCTATTTGGTGACTGATACATGGTGATTATGGAGTAACAATGAAAGTTATGTGACTTTATTAAAATGCAATATCTAAAGCGTCAGCAATAGTTAGCAAATCAGTAACAATTGAGCAAACACTAAGCACAATTTTGATGGGTACATAATAGGAATTCTTTGAACTTTCTGATGTAAGTATCCTTCACTTGATGAGTATTCAACCAAGATTTCTAGGTGAGCAATACTTGTCCATTTGTCCTTTTTGTTTTCACAGAAATTAAATTTTACTTCAACATTTTCTCTCTTTTCTGAATGTTTTGCTTCAGACATTCTTATCTCCCTTGAATAAATGCAGAGAATATATAGTCTAATATATTAACAAATTAGATTTTAATTTTCAATATTTTTCATGACAATCCTTGAATAATTTACAATCAAAGTGTGGTGTTTTTAATAGAAAAACTGAATTAAATACCTGTATGGTTGATATTTCCTTATCATGCACATTTTCAATGTTATGTGTGAGTGGTGGTCATAAAAACATTTTGAATTAACTCAGCATTGTGTTACTGACTTTTATTACGTCTTTTGTACTATTTTTGGGCCAACATAAAAGCACTCAAAATATCCAAGAGATTTTGCACCTACCATTATACCATCTTAACAGGTTCTATGTAAGATTTATTAATTACTTTTCTCTTATCTATTGGACATTGGGTCTTGTAAAATGTAAATGCATCTTGTGGTTATTCCTGATCAATGTTTCGCTTCATACTACTGTATATGCCATTTTCTTTTCTAAATAAGGTTGACATTTTACCCATTCGTTAAGGTGAAACAACTGGAACTTAAATTTTAAATTAGAGAAAATCTGTTCAGTAATTCTAATTCGAGCTGCTAAAATTTGCTAGTGCTTTTATTCGGATAGTGTGTGAGGGTCCCTTCATTAATTCCACATGAAGGTTCCCATATTTCAATATTTACATATTAAAGTTTGGAACTGATCAGAACACAAAGATGGCTGGCTGCCTGCCTTTCTATGCAATAGGGCTAACACATTTTAATCTTAAAACTTTAAGATGGCCGCCTGCCAGCACTCTTGGTTTTTGATACGTCCCAAAATGTGAATGAGGAAATGTATTGTTTAAGGACGGACGGACGGACGACGGGTAATTTGAATAGCCTACCATCTCATGATATTATGAGATGGAGGGCTTTAAAGCGCTGTCACAAAAGGGACCCAATCACCCCTTAGTTATTGTTTTTGTGTGTTAAATAGCATGTGACTTCATAAATACAGAGTGAAACTGAACTATTCGAGAGTAAAGCGAGTAAAGGTGAAATAGGCCGACACACAAATATAACCTTTCAGCATTTATCCCGTGTAAAGACGGAACTGACGTCTGTTCCCCAAACTGTCAGCAAACAATGACTCTCCAGCTCAAGGTCGGTTCCAGAACTATTGAGACCGTCCCAGCTAGGGGTATACTTTGATAGTTCATTGAACATGGAGTAACAAGTGTACGCCATTGCCAAATCCTGTTACTACCAAATCAGGAACATCGGCTGTATCCGGAAGTTTATAATTGCAGACGCGTGCGACATTTTGTTACATTCACTTATTACCTCTCGGTTGGATTATGGTAACACCCTGCTCTGTGGTATATCTGACAGACTGCAGAGGGTCCAGAACACTGCAGCACGGCTGGTTACTCGTACTCGAAAGAGAGAGCACATCACACCTGTGCTATATTCATTGTACAGGTTACCTGAACGATACAAGTCACAGTACAAAAATGTGGTGTACATATACAAGGTACTGAATGATAGAGCCCCCAGTATCTTGTCACCTTGTATCAGCCGTCACGATCACTGCGGTCGGAGTCATAATCAATGCTGTGTGTCCAAAAATCTCGTACTTTGACCTACATGTATGGAAACCGGTGTTTTGAGAGGATATCGGCCACGTTGTGGAATAGCTTACCATCTGCTATTAGAAAGTCAAATTCAAAAGGGACATCAAAACTCACCTCTTCACGTCTGTATTTTAGTTTTTTTGCAAAGACGTCATGTAAATACCACCCTTTATTGATTATCTGCTTGATTAATGTATAAAAGTGATTGTAAGCCTTTGTTTCACAATTATAACTACTACTATTATTCATATGTTGTAAAGTGCTTTACAGTAATTTTACAAATTATATAGCGTTCTACATAAATGTCGTATATCATTATAATCATTATATATTATTATAAGGTCACACCATCAAGAACTATCACATGCCCTGCTGCACACTGATCAATTAATTACCCCATAATATACCACCCCATAGATATATCAGTACATCGCTAACGTCAGGCTCAGGAGAACAATACACATTCCTGCTGATTGACCCCCCTAGATTGTATTGTCACAGTAGTATTTGGCCGGGTAGATAATACAATACCCACCTATTGTCCGGGTAAATATGTTATGTGATTTACAAATTGTAACAGATCTACCGACATAACTAAGAACTTCTATTATATTGTAATATAATCTGCTTTGATGGTGGTCTGCTCTAAAGTGTGTTTGTTCGTTGCATGTGGACGGCCTGACATTGTAAACAAGGTGAGTGAGTAATGTAACTCCAAATGTTCTGTAGTTCCTATGATTACCCCAACGGCCAATAACCACCAAACGTCAACCACAGGATTTAGAGAAAAACAGGTTTAAGTGGAAAATCGGGACTTTGTGAATACTCCAAATTTGTATTCCTTACATGGAAACACGTTTTTCTTTGTGATTGTTTTATCAATATACAATGAACTACCTCACTGAGAAATCAGTTTTCTATTGTCTATAACAATTCAACGGTTTTGTATATTTTTAACAAAATGGCCACAAAGCTTAGATTCCTTATCGCATCTAAGGTCAAACCACCTGTATACACCACAAGGGGAGACAACTAGACATTTACTGTGAAGAATATCGAGTTACTGTTTGCATCAAGTGTGTATCTGCTATACATAAGAGTCATCCTTTGTGTGACCTTAGTGAAATTACTCCTCAAACTAAACACGACACTCAAAACTTTATAGACAAAACTGAGAATGTTGACCTTGCACATATTGACCAGTACATCACATCTACTGCTAACAGCTCAGAATCTGTCTCTCTATCGCTTATGTAAGAGGATGATACAAAATACTACAAACCTATAAAAGGACCTTGAAATGTATAGCACTCAGCTAGATCAACAAGTGCAAGAATGTAAGATAGCACTTCAGCGTGGCTCTGACATACAAATCTACGACGCAGGATGTGAGATTCAATCTACTGTCACACTCCCTGTAAAACCTGGCCCCGCTTCTGCTAGCTTCACTCCAAACCAATATCACCAAGGTCACCTGCAACAAGCTTTTGGAGAAGTTAGCACATCAGGTCAAGTTTTACACGAGCTTGACCGGTAAGTTGGATCCCGTGCTGGACTAGGGCATTCCACTTCGCAACAGAAGTCAGAAACAAAAGGAAAGGTACCCTCAACACAACAGGGACCAAAAGGAAGAAAGAAAGTGACCAGTCCAGAATATACCCTGTTGCCCCAGACCAAGGTTTTGGAGAAGTGGTGGTCTCCATGTTTTATTACTTCTGTACGCCCCGCCACTGATGGTCAGGTATGGACCAGTGAGTATAACAGTTACACTTTAACTCTACTGGACAGGAGTCGCCAAGTAATACAGGAGGTTAAACACAATATTTTAATTAAAGACATAAGTCTGTCATCTACCACCAAGACACTGTGGATCTGTGACCAGGAAAACAACATCACAGAGTTCATGTCAGGACGACTAATACACAGATTCAGCACCAAGTTATGACTAAACACATCTCAAAATTTACCACAAAAGGTAAATTGGTTCGTGTTTCTTTGAGTGCGCGGACTGCAAAGCCAATAGTGTGTACACCATACAAGATTTCAGGACATCTTTGAACAAATTAGGGAGTCGAAAATCCGAATATACCAAGGCCCAAAAAAGGGCCTTATAGACACTTATCCTTTGTAAAAGATGCCTCCAGTACATTCTGAAAAATAGCTCTAAAAGGAATTATTTCAGGACGAATGGACTAACGAAATGGTGGACGGACGGACAGATAGACAATAGATGTAGAGTGCTTTGGATAGCTCATCACAGCAAAGTGCCCATGGCACTGAAGGATTGTGTGCATACGTTCGTAGGTGTGTGCATATTTTTTGGTTTTAAAAAGATTTTATCCTGAATGGGCAGACTATATGTATATACATGTATCTGGAAGGAAAGCTTAGAAGCGACAATCAAAGACATTTAAAGGATTTGCTGTTTTAAAATCTGCATAATTTCAATGCTAATCAATATATCGTGAATTCGCATTTTAACGACGTCAAATCCAAGAAAATACACAAAAAAAGGATGTCTTGCTCAATTTGCAGCAAAGGTAATTTATAGGTTGCCTTGTTCCCACGTTTACTTTATAATTTAGGTTATATCTAACCTTGCATGATGTACCAATTTTAGAAGTGATCTGATTGAATTAGGCTACTCGGCCAAAAGCCGAAAATCAGCACTTCTACTCCTAGGATGTTTTCATATGATAACATATCATAAACCCCTTTACTTATTATGATCTACTGATAGAACCGAGCCCCTGTGGGCGATCCAATATTTACTTGTCCCCATAATCCAATGATGTAACACTATCTAAAACATATACTGTCATCTAAAGCTTACAATAATTGCCTTGACAGATTAAACAACAGTAAGCGCTTGTATTCGTACAACGTTTGCTTAAATGTGACAGCCCTGAATGTGTATACATGATGCTAGTGATGATGATGACGATGGTCATCTTATTTACATTTGAGAGTACATCATCATCATCATCATCATCATCATCATCATCATCTTGTGACAGGTTCTTACTAGAGCCACCAATGCAGAAATGTCAGCCAACGTCCAGGCTGGTACTTACTGTTAGTTTATATTTGAGTTGTGACAGGTACTTACTTGAGCCACCAGGAAGAAATGTCAGCTACCGTCTAGATTTCGACGTAGCGTTAGTTTGTGTTTGAGTTGTGACTTGAGCCAACCAGGAAGACATGTCAGCAACTCCGCCGAGCGGTATTTAATTAAGTTTGTGTCAGAGTTGTGACAGGTAATTACTTGATCCACCAGGACGAAATGTCAGACACTGTTTAGAGTGGGACGTAGTGTTAGTTTGGGTCCGAGTTATGACAGTTACTAATGGAATCTACACAGGAGAAATGTCAGCCACCTTCAAAAGAGGTACTTGTCTGTCTGTCTGTCTGTCTGATTCTTTGCCTATGGCCGATTTCTCCCCATCTATCCTGTCTTTATGTAACCCCTCTCCTTTCTCTCTGCTATTGTTTTTTTGTTTTTTTTTACTTTTGTCCGCTTATCACCTGTCTGTCTCTCTATCCATGCCAGTCACTTTGTTAATATCTGTCACTCGAATGCATTATCGTGCAGATCACTCGAAGGACTATTGATAAACTATAGTATATATTGGA